TCGGTTTGGAAACAAACGCGTCTTCATTTGGCGACATATGGTAGAAATGAGGGGAGAGAGACAGAGACAGACAGACAGACAGAGAGAGAGAGAGGGAGGGAGAGGGAGAGAGAGAGGGAGAGAGAGAGCAGGGTGGGATGGGATAAAGGGCATGTGGTAAAATGTTAACATTTGCAGAAGAATCCGGTGCAACTTTTTTATAACTCTGAAAGTATTTCAAAATGAAAAGTTAAGAAAGGGAAATTAAAAACCCTCAAGGGCTTCCCTGGTGGTGCAGTGGTTAAGAATCCGCCTGCCAATGTATGGGACATGGGTTCGAGCCCGGGTCCGGGAAGATCCCACATGCCGTGGAGCAACTAAGCCTGTGCGCCACAACTACTGAGCCCGCGTGCCACAACTACCGAAGTCCATGCACCTAGAGCCCGTGCTCTGCAACAAGAGAAGCCACCGCAATGAGAAGCCCATGCACCTCAATGAAGAGTAGCCCCCGCTTGCCGCAACTAAAGAAAGCCTACGTGCAGCAACGAAGACCCAACGCAGCCAAAAATAAAATAAATAAACTTATTAAAATAAAAAAACCCTCAAATGCCATGTGAGATGCTGCGTCGGAGGCTGGAACAGAAAAGGGGTCATGGTGGGAAAACCAATGAAATCTAAATCTGGAGTTTAGTTAACAGAAATGTAATGGTACTGTTCCCACATTAATATCTCAGCTGTGATGAGCACACGGCACTTATGCAAGATGTCACCACGAGAGGAAGCTGTTTAGGAGGAGACGGGAACTCTCCGGACTATCTTTGCCAAATTTCTGTCCTTCAAAACTGATTCCAAAATAAAAAGTTTCCTGCAAACAAACCAACAACAAACAAAAAACGGCCCATAGTTCCACAATCTGAAATGCTTCAGTAAGGAGCCACATGTGTCTCAGATTTCCTTGGATTTCAGGACGGGGATACATCAAACTCAATAAATATTCCTGCAGTAGAATCTCTGACTACCACAGTCAGTGAGATAAACCCACAGCCTCGCCTCCCACTGGAAAACCTGGGGAGACGGGCTGGTCTCTGGAGCTTCTGCTATTTGGAGGTGGAAGAGGTACCGTAAGACCCCCTGTCCTCCTCGGGTGCCGGGGGGTCCACACGCACCAGCTTGCCCGAGCCCACAAGAGGAACGGCTCTTGGCTCCACATTTCACGTGGGGAAACTGAGTCCCAGATCAGTTGGGTCATGCAGCTGGTGGGTGGCCAAACTGGGACTCAAACCCGGTTCTGAGTCCAGAGCTCACGGGCTTTTTAATAATCATTCCGGGGGCTTCCCTGGTGGCGCAGTAGTTGAGAGTCCGCCTGCCGATGCGGGGGACACGTGTTTGTGCCCCAGTCCAGGAAGATCCCACATGCCGCGGAGCGGCTGGGCCCGTGAGCCATGGCCGCTGAGCCTGCGCATCCGGAGCCTGTGCTCCATAACAGGAGAGGCCACAACAGTGAGAGGCCCGTGTACCGCAAAAAAAAAAATAATAATAATAATCATTCCGGGAAGTTCCCCAGGCACTGCCTGAATTATCGTCACTAAGATTCCCACTGTTTTCCCATTCGCAGTGGAGATGTGGGGGCTCAGAGAGGTGAAGTGACTTTCCCAGGGTCACACAGCTACTGGAAAAGCAGAGGAGTAAACACAAGCCCTTGTGGATCCTTCACCTTCATCTAAGTATCAGTTCATGTGATGTTTCTACGGACGCTCGGAAGCTCGTCGGCTCCTCTGGGTGCTGCCAAGACGGCGGTGAGACCTACGGCAGGGGGCTGCACCCTTTGACCTTCCTCTGGGTTGCCCCCAAAAGTGTGGAGAACGAAGAAAGATCTCACCAAGAAACAGTTAATTTTTATTTATTTATTTATTTTTGGGTGCGTTGGGTCTTCGTTGCTGCGCGCAGGCTTTCTCTAGTTGCAGCGAGTGGGGGCTACTCTTCATTGCGGTGCGCGGGCTTCTCATTGCGGTGGCTTCTCTTGTTGCAGAGCACAGGCTCTGGGCATGCTGGCTTCAGTAGTTGTGGCTTGCAGGCTCTAGAGCGCAGGCTCAGTAGTTGTGGCACGTGGGCTCAGTAGTTGTGGCGCACGGGCTTAGTTGCTCCACGGCATGTGGGATCTTCCTGGACCAGGGCTCAAACCTGTGTCCCCTGCATTGGCAGGCGGATACTTAACAACTGCACCACCAGGGAAGTCCGCAACAGTTAATTTTGTTGAGATGCACTGATTTCTTTTTTTTTTTTTTCCTCTTCTGTTTCATTAAGGAAAAAAAAAAATATCCTGGTTGCCACCCACAGCTTGGGTTTTGTGACTCACAAATGGCTCACAACCTGAAGTCTGAAAAACTCCACCTTTGCAGCTGTGACTGTCCTGGAGCCACTGAGGAATCAGGAGTCTCTCTGCTCCCCCTCCTGATGTGGTTCAGGAAGCCCCCCACATGGGGCTGGGGGCTGCGGGGAGAGCTGTTTCCACCTGGTGCGTCCTCGCAGCCCAGACGGGAAGTGATTGCTTCCTTCTGGGAATGGGTGCGGAGGTAGAAACTCGCAGAGGCCAGGAGCTGTGCCGAGCCCCAGGCATGGCGAGACGCCGTGCAGCTCCTTCCATGGGTGACGGCAGTCCCAGCCCCGCCATCCTCCCCCAGGAAACTGGGCCACTGGGACACAGGGAGCTCATCTTCTTTGCCCAACTCTGCCTCAAAACTGGCTGCAGACCCCAGACCCATCCTGCCGCCGCCCTGGGCCTCAGTTTCCCCATCTGTCATTGGGCTTCTGTAGAGGCACGTTCACAGGGCAGTCAAGCACGTGGACTGTGGAACCAGAATTCTAGCTTCCGATTCTGGCTGTGTGACCTTGGGCAGGTTGCTTCGCCTCTCTGGGCCTCGGTTTCCCCGTCTGGAGTGGTTCCTACCTCACATAGTATGGACAGAGCTGGCTCCTTTAATTGCCTCATTCTGAGTCTTCCCCTCCTCAACGTGGTGACCACTTCCTGTCAGGGACAGACCCCCAGCCCCTTGGCCTTCCTCCAAAGGGTCAGCCACCTCCCAGAAGAAAAAAAACAAAAAAAAACTTTTGGATTCAATTCCTGTTTTTAAGGAGGGCAGATGTGGAAGCAGCCCTCAGGGCTTGGATAGGGGTGTTGAAACCACAGTCCAGCAGGCTGTGCATAGGGCCACCATCTGTGCTTGGGCATGTGGACAACCTCCACTCTCCCCTCTCCCACCCCTACCAGCAGAAGTGGCTTCCTGATTTGGGACTGGCTGTGCAGTGGTCAGTGGGGCAAGGGACTTTCCCAGCTCCAGGAAGATATGGTACCGCTCTGGGGAAAATCACCCCTGAAACAGGATTCATTCATTCATTCCTTCACTCATTTATAAATCATGCATCGGGTATCTGCTCTACGTCAGGTCACCGTACTCCTGAAATAGATGCTGGGGACACAGGAGTGAATAAGATGGACATGGTCCTCACCTCTGTGTTGCTTGCTGTGTAACTGGAGAGGCAGACAATAAACAAGGAAACAAGAAAACACCTGAGAGAGCGTCAGCGAGTGAGTGGTATGAAGAAAAATCAGGCGAGAGAGAAAGATGCGGCTGACTTTGAAGCCCGGGAAATCAGGGAAGACTTCTCTGAGGAAGTGACACTTGAGCTGAGACCTGCCTTGAGTGAAAGGAGTGAGAGCACCAGCCATGCAAAGGCTTGGGGGATGCTGAGAGCCCTTGGCAGGGAGAATGGCAAGTGCAAAGGTCCAGAGGTGTGGTTAAAGAAAACCTGAGATGTGCAAGAAAGTATCACTAACACTGCCAAACCCCTAGCCCAACAGGTCAAGAAAAATGGAGCAAAGACAAAGAATGAAAAAGGAGACATGACTACAAATCCCACAGACATGAAAGGATGACAAGGGACTGTTATAAACAACCTTATGCCTGTACATTTGACAACTTTGAAGAAATGGACAAATTCTTTGGAAGATACCAATAACCAAAGCTCACTCGAGAAGAAATAGCCTAAATAGCCCTATTTATTAAAAAATAGTAAATAACATATATATACTAGCCTAGCTATTACAGAAAGTGAATAGAGATAGCTATGAAATTAAATTCTTAATTAAAACCTTCCAGGCTCAGACAGCTTCACTGGGGTCCCATGCCCCCACCCTCTCCTCTCTCTCTACCCCTCAGGGCTGCCCCTTGCCACTGAGCAAGAGAAGAGAGAGGACGGCCATCCAGATGACCAGGCTCTTTGCCCCAGGACAAGCAGATGGGACTTTGGAACACTTCCCCCGCCCTCGCTCAGGGCTCAGGCAGTCCCAGGAGACCCTCCAAGGCTGGCATCCCTGGGCTTAGGCCAGCAGGGTCATACACAGGGCAAGGTGGCTGGGGGAGTGGACACACGTGGACAAGAAGACATCAGGTCTCAGAGGCTTCCAATCCACCACACCCAAGTCACCCCCACTCCCTCACCCTGTTCTATTTTCCTCCTGTTCTTCGTGCTTCCGGAAATTATTTTACCTGCTTATTAGTTTTGGGGTTTAACATCTGTCTCCCCCACCGGAAGCTGAGGTCCCCAGACTAAGGGACACGCTCCATCTCCTCTGCCGCTGTGCCCCCACGAATTACTCAGTACGTCTTGAATGAATGAACCGATCAATCAATCAATCAGAGGCACGTGACAATGCTCTCTCTGCCCACACGACTCGTGCCGATAAACCACCAGAACAGACCCAGCGCTCCAGAGGGACAGGAGGGTCTCCGAGGGTGAGGCTAGAGCTCCCCGGGCTGTGCGGCTCATTCCCTTCCCGTGACGCGGAGCCGGTGGAGCGGGCCGGGCCTGCCCGACAGAAGCCAGGCCGCCGGGCCAAACCACCTCTGCTCCTGCAGATGCCCAGGAGATGGCCGGGCCGCGGGACGGGCCCACAGCTCACCCCGTGGGACTAGGAACCGGACGTCAGTCGACTCATCCTGCAAGTGGGCTCCCAGGCTGTCCCGCCCGGGGCGGCCGCGGACTCACCCAGCAGCAGCAGCTTCAGCTCCCCTCGGTCCCGCTTCTTCTGCTCCAGGAGGATCTTGTTGATTTCCTGGTCGATCCGGGCCGCCGACTTCTCGTCCTCGGTCAGGCACCAGGGGAAGCAGCGCCAGGTCAGCGAGCGGGCCATGGTGGGGCCTCAGCGGGCGCCAGGCGGCATCGCCCCCGCCCCCGCCCCCTCCCGCCGGGAGGCCCCCCGGCTGGCCGCTGCGGGGTGGGCTTCTGACAGCCGGCGGCAAGAGTCTCCCTCGTCGTGGGGGTCGCCCCCCAGGGACCCCCGGCTTCCCGGCCTTGGGCACCCCGCGGCCCAGCTCGGCGAGGCCTCCGCGTCGGGTCGGGGGTGGAGACGGAGAGGAGATGCCGGCCTAGGGCGCCCCGCCCTCCCCCAGACCTGCCCGGCCCGGCCCGACAGGTTGACGGCAGTAGAGCGAGAGGTGAGGCGGGCGCCCCGGGGGAGGCGGGGCGGGGAGGAAAGGCCCGGCGTCTGCAGTCTGGGTCTGCGCTGCGCCTCCTTCCTCATTCTGGAGAAGGGGTGGACCCTGTCCTCCTGGGCCTCTGACGCCCGGCCCCGGCCCATCCACCTCTCCCCCTCCTCCGGGCCAGTTGGAAGCAGTCATCAGAATACCCCACAAGATCTTTCTTAAAAGAACAGCCAGGGCCCGGCGTCACTTACTGTTCTAAGTGCTTTTGTGTTTGTGGGGGGCGGGGGTTGTTCATGCGGACAGCACCCCAAGTTCCTTGCCATTCCCGCTGCACAGATGGGGACATAGAGGCACAGCCAGGCAGTGACAACCCCCGGGGAGCCTCTCCCACCCGTGGGGCCTCAGTCTCAACTGCAGAGCTGGCAGCTTTGGGACTTTGGAACCGGGCCATTCGTTCTTCTTGCAGACATTTATGCGGCGCCTACTGTGTGCCAGGCATTCTACGCACAGCAGGGACCCAAATGACAAAAAACCCGATCTCCCTGCCTTACGCTCTAGACAGACAGATAAAGAAATACCTTAAATATATGTATATCTAAGCCTATCAGATGGCCATAAATTGTGAGAGGAAAATAAAGCTGGGAAGGGGGATGGGAGATTGGGGGGGAGGCCTCATGTGTGGCTTGAAACAGGGGGTCAAGGAAGGTCACTCTGAGAAGACAGGCATTTGGGAGAAGTCGGACAGGCAGCCTGGACATACGGGGACCTTGGGAGTCAAGCCCGCGTCCCAGCAAGGCCATGAGGCCCGCGTTCGCTGACGACTCAGCCCTCAGGACCTTAGAAGCAGGAGGGGACACAGGGGTGGCTGTGTAGCTGCGTCCCCACAGAATGTCTCCAATCCAGCAGCTCTTTGCTGTGTTCGGGGACAGAATGCTCTTTGAGAGGTTCTAGAAAGCTCTAGAAAGTTCCCAAACACCCCTCCCCCCAGAGATACACAGAATCCGGGAGATCCCGGGCCCCTCCCACAGGCACTGGTGAGGCTCAGAGAGGGTGCGTGCTGTGCCTGAGGTCACACAGCCGCAACTGTCTGCCTGTGCCACGCCCCAGCCGGCACCAATGTGGTTTTCTTCGCTGTTGATTCATAACGACCAGCAGATGGGAAGTTTGATAGGGGCCCCGTTGGGTCACTGGGTCCTGGCCAGGCACTGCCCTGCCCAACCCCGTTCCCACCCCCGACCGGATGGCCATGAGGAGGGGGTGCTCCCCGGAGCCTGAGGCCTGGGTCACTTCCCACTACCGGGGAAGGCGAAGAAAAGCAGAAATAATAATCTGGGCCACACAGAAGCAGAACGGAGGTAACCAGCTTGGCAAAACCCAGAGGCCAGGATGAGTCACAGACTGGAGAGTGGATGGCGGGGCAAGGCCAGGAGCACCTGGGGCCACCCCCCTGTTTCCCAAAGGACACCAGGCCCCTAACCCATCACACAGGGCCAGGGCGGCATCCCACTGACCTCAGAAAAATAAAAACAGGCGCCTTGATTCCCCCTCCTCCAGGGCCCATACTCTGTGAATTTCTTCAGCCTCACAACAAATCTCCCCACTTCCCCAAACAGGCGAGGAGCTGCTTCCTGTCCAGATGAGGTGCCATCCTGGCGGGACACCCGTCACCTATTAGTCCATTCGGGAATAACAGGGTGAGCTGTGTGTGTGTTTAAAAATACACACACACGGGGCTTCCCTGGTGGCGCAGTGGTTAAGAGTCCGCCTGCCAATGCAGGGGATACGGGTTCGTGCCCCGGTCCGGGAAGATCCCACATGCCGCGGAGCGGCTGGGCCCGTGAGCCATGGCGAGCCTGCGCGTCCGGAGCCTGTGCTCCGCAATGGGAGAGGCCACAACAGTGAGAGGCCCGTGTACTGCAAAAAAAAAAAACAAAACACACACACGGACTTCCCCGATGGTCCAGTGGGTAAGACTCCACGCTCCCCATGCAGGGGGCCCAGGTTCCATCCGTGACTGGGGAACTAGATCCTGCATGCCGCAACTAAGAGCCGGCGCAGCAAATAAATAAATAAGTAAATTTTAAAAATATATATTAAAAAAAAATACACACACAGACTTCTCTTGCAGTCCAGTGGTTAAGACTCCGCCCTTCCACTGCAGAGGGCGTGGGTTCCATGCCTGGTCAGGGAACTAAAAATTAAAACAAACAAACACACACACACACACACACACACACACACACACAGAGAAAACACAGAAAACATGAACATATAACCTAATAATTTCCTGTGAAACTGATACCCACGTGATCCCCACCCAGGCCAAGATTCAGGGTATCGTCAGCCCCAAGAGGGTTCCCAGATCCCCGTTCCAAAAAGACCCCCTTCCTCCTGCTGGGCAGTCAGTACTGCACCAACTGCTATGGTACTTCTGTGTTTGGGGGGTATTTTTGGTAACAAGATTTATTTTGCTTTTTGTTTTTTCAATTTACGTGGCTTGGTAGGTGCTTTCTTTGGTGTACGGTTTTGTGTTTTAACAAATGTACACAGTCATGTAAATTATGGCTAAAACCGTTGACAGAATATGGTTCTGTCACCTGAAGAACCCCCTCCAGGTACTTCTTTATAGCCAGACCCTCACCTGAGCCCTCACCCCTGGAAACCATCGATCTGCTCTTTTTTTATTTTTTATTTTTTTGCGGTACGCGGGCCTCTCACTGTTGTGGCCTCTCCCGTTGTGGAGCACAGGCTCCGGACGTGCAGGCCCAGTGGCCATGGCTCACGGGCTCAGCCGCTCCGCGGCATGTGGGATCCTCCCAGACCGGGGCACGAACCCGCGTCCCCTGCATGGGCAGGTGGACTCTCAACCACTGCGCCACCAGGGAAGCCCGATCTGGTCTTTGTTGCTATGGTTTTTTGAATCTTTTTGAGACTGTCATGTACATGGAATCATACACTCACTGTGTAATTTTTGAGACTGGCTTCTTTCACTTAGCATCTGAGATTTGTCTATGCAGTGGGGCATGTCAGGAGCCCTCTCCTTTGGACTCTTGGGTAGTTTTCTGTTGTGTGGGTTCATCACCCTTTATCTGTTCACCCATAGAGGGCCATTTGGGTTGCTCCCAGTTTGGGGGTGATCACGAATAGTGCTGCTGTAAACATGCACTATAATCATCATCAGTGCTCGTTTCTCTAGGATATTTCTAGAAGTGGGATGGTTGGGTCATAAGGTAATTGTACGTATAACTTTGTAAGAAACGGCTGGATGCTTTTCTGGTGTGGCTTTCCCATTTTGCACGCCCATCAGAAATGCCTGAGGGGGGCTTCCCTGGTGGCGCACTGGTTAAGAATCTGCCTGCCAATGCAGGGGACAAGGGTTCGAGCCCTGGTCCCGGAAGATCCCACGTGTCGAGGAGCAGCTAAGCCCGTGCGCCACAACTACTGAGCCTGCGCTCTAGAGCCCGTGAGCCATAACTACTGAACCCGCGTGCCACAACTACTGAAGCCTGTGCATGTAGAGCCCATGCTCCACAACAAGAGAAGCCATCACAATGAGAAGCCCGCGCACCGCATCGAAGAGTAGCCCCGGCTCACCACAACTAGAGAAAGCCCGCATGCAGCAACGAAGACCCAATGCAGCCAAAATTAAATAAATTTATTTTTAAAAAAATACCCAACTGTGGAACTGCTGGGTTACAAGGTATTTCCGAGATATTAACTCTCTTTTGCCAAAGTGCGTGTACCAATTTACAACCCCACTAGCTCTGGTAGGTTTCTTTTGTTTGTTTTTTAAATTTTTGCCAGTGCCACCGGGCTTGCAGAATCTTCTTTCCCCGATCAGGGATCGAACCCGTGCCCCCTGCAGTGGAAGCCCGGATTCTTAACCACTGGACGACCAGGAAATTCTCTCTGGTGAGTTTTTTATGGACCTAAATTTATCCCATCCAAAGTCTCTCCTTTATTCAGAAACGACGATCTCCTTGCTGTTCCTTTGGTATGAGAAATGCCCTTTCTGTTTAATGAGGAATAGGATGTTTACATGGTTTTACAGTACCTCACAGTCCTCAGCTGATGGGAGGCCACAGCTGGGTCATTCCCTGGCCACTGCCCTTGGCCATACCCAAGGTCATGCCCCCGCCCCCACCAGGGCTGGCCCAAGGCTGGGGTACAAATGTCCATCCCCTCCCTTTATTAACTGATGAATCACGGATTTGATTCCACTTCTGCGAGTATATCCATACCGAAAGCAGGGTCTCCAGAGGGTCTTTCCCACCCAAGTTCACAAAAGCATGATTCACCGCAGCCAAAAGGAGGAAACACCCAGGATCCCCTCGCCGGCTACCTGGGCCGGCTTGGTGGGCGGGGGACTCGGGCTCGGAAGGTTTTCTGTCTTGAAAGCCTCCTGGTTTTGTAACAAGGGCCCTGCGTTTTCACTTTGCACCGGGTCGCGGCTGGTGCCCAGGCTCAGGGGCGCCGCCTACCGTCAGGGCAAGGGCCAGGACGCTCTGTGCCTCGGTTTCCCTGTTGGAACCGGGATGCCGAGAGGACCTCCGGAGCGGATGCGCGTTCGCGCGGACGGGCGCGGAAAACAGGCGAGCGGCACCTGCCGGCCTCGGGGGACATGACGGCCAGGCGCGCCGGCAGCATCCGCGGGCTCCCTCCCTGCACCCATCTCCCGAATCCCACTCCCTCCTCCGCCTCCACTTGGGACCACTCCATCATCTCACACCTGGTCCAGCTGAGTCCCCTCCATCCGGGTCCCTGGTTCCGCCCTCACCCCCACAGTCTGTCCTCCCGGAAGCGGCCACCAGAGGGCGCCTGTGAGCACTGAGTCAGGCCCTGTCCCGCCCCGGCGCACAGTCCTCCAGGGTCCCACCTTCCTGAGGGTAAAAGCCCGTCCTCCCCGCGGCCCACAAGGATCTGCACGACCTGCCCCGTCCCCTCCCTGCCCTCCCCTCCTCCCTCTCTCTGCCTCACTCACTCTGCTCCAGACACACGGGCCTCCTTGCTGTTCCTCCAGTGAACCAGGGCTGGTCCTGCCCCAGGGCCTTTGCATGTGCTCTGCCCTCCGCCTGGCAATCCCCTCCCTCAGACCACAGCATGGCCCCTTTTCACGTCTTCCAGCATCCTATTCATACGCCTTCTCCGAAAGGGCTTTCCTGAACAGCCTGACTTTAATGGCCACTATCGCTGCCCATGACGCTTCCCTGCTGTTTTTCTTCCTAGATTGAGTCATCGTGATAAGTGCTGTCTCCCTGTATATGCAGTGCCTAGGACAGTGCCTGGCACACACGGGGCCTTCAGGGCATTTCCATCCCGCTGATGAATGAGTAAATAAAACTGGAGGGGGATATGGAGAAATGCGACCCTGGCGTACAGCTGGTGGGAACGAGAAATGGGGCAGCCGCCGTGGAAACAGCCTGGCGGTTCCTCAAATGGTTAAACGTGGAATCGCCATTTGACCCAGCAATTCCACTTCTGGGTTTATAGCCAGTAGAATGGAAAGCAGAGTCTCAAAGGGATACTTGCACACCTGTGTTCACAGCAGCGTGATTCACGACAGTGAAAAGGGGGAAACAACCCAAGTGACCATCAACAGATGGATAAACAAAGGTGGTCCATCCACGCAGTGGAATGATTCAGCCTTAAAAAGGAAAGAGATCCTGACACCTGCTACACCATGGATGTACCTGAAGGACATGATGCTCAGTGAGAAGTCAGACACAGAAGGACAAATACTGTGTGATTCCACTCACATGGAGTCCCTGGAGGAGTGAAATCCATAGAAAATAGGATGGTGGGGGCCAGGGGCTGGGGGAAGGGGTGGGGAGTTATTGATTAACGGGTACGGAGTTTCTGTTTGAGGTGATGAAAAGGTTTTGGAGACAATTACTGCTGATGGTTGCACAACATTGCGAACGAAACTAATGTCACCTAACTGTGCATTTAAAAATGGTGAAGCTGGTAAGTTGTATGTGTACTTACCACAATGTAAAAAAAATTTTTTTTAAGGAAAAAAGGACTGAGAGACGGCAGGGAGATCACTGGTCCAACATCTTGGTTTGCAGAAAGAAATGGGGCTGGGGGAGGGGCGCGTCTTCCCAAGAGGATCCGCGACAGTGAGTGGCCAGTTGGGCCCAGAACCCAGGCCCCATCTCTGTCCCCTGCCCCCCACGAGGACGAGTTCCTCTTGCAGGATGATCCAGCCCACAGCGCGGCACATCGACCTGATGTCAGGGGCCCTGGGGCCGCAGTCCCAGCTCAGGGAAGGAGGTACACCCCAGGCGGCCGAGCTGCGGCTCCCGTGACCTCAGACCCCATCCTGAAGGTGCCAGGGCCCCGCAGGCCACACAGGAGTCAGGTGACACGCCGGGGGCCTCAGGGCCCCCTGCTGCCCCCCACCCCCAGCCAGTAACAGGAAATAAGCCACAGGGGACCGAGTGTTTAGGAACAAAATTTATTCCAATTTAAAACAGAATTCATTTCAGGAGAAAGGTATGAAAAGTCTATTTCCATCACGTATCTCTGGATTAAGGGGTCAGGGCCCCGACACGCTGCCTGAACATGGACAGCTCCGGCCACAGGAGACTGGCACTGAGCCGACGGCGCCCGCCCCTCAGCCCGCACGGACAATACATGCATTTCAAATGACAAAAGGTTTAAAAACAGCATTTTTATATAATATTCTTTTTTAAATAGATTAAGGTTTAAATTGTCTGAAATCAGGACTGTTTAATATACAAGTACAAGCGGGTGAGGTCACACCCGCCGGCCGGCCAGCACGGCCCCTCACACCACTGGGGCGTTGGCACTCGGAGGGCAGTTCTGCTGGGTGATGCGACACAGCAGTGGGGGGAGGCTGGCACTCGGGCAAGCGCCTCGGAGGCGAGCAGGCCAGGCGGGGAGGTTGGGCACAGCAGCCGGGCTTGCCCCGGGATCTTGGCACTCCGGCCCCTCCGGAAGTTAACACTCTGGATGCGCCCCCCACCGCCTCCCCCTCGAGGGCCTGCTCTGGCTCCCTGTGCATTGTGGGCCCCTGGGAGCCCACCGCCAGTGGCACCACCGTCCCCGGCCGCACGTCAGGGCTATGGCACAAACCCCCGCAAGTGGACGCACGGCACCAGAGAGGGCCCTCTGGGTGGAGATGCCAGAGGAGAACAGGCCGAGAAGCCTGCCCCCCACCCTGGGCCCTGCGTATCAGGCGCAGGAGGGAGGTGGGAGGCCCACGGACGGGGACAGGGCTGGTGCGGGGCTGGTCTGACGTGTGCGCTGTTTCTCTGCACTCCCTGGTCAAGGGCCGCCCTGAGCGCTCACTCGCAGGGCCCAGGTGCATGGGACAGGTGCGGGGCGCCACCAGCGGGCCACTCCCGTCACATTGGTGCAAGAAACCAACCACACAAAACCAACCACTGCAGTGCTCGGCCCACGCCACATGAGACGGCCACTCCGTCCCCCCAGAAACCGGCCCTCAGGCCCTCGGGGAGGCCCCCTCAGTGCGTGGCCGTGGCCAGGCTTAAGGCCCACCTCCAGCTGCCACAAGCCCCGACAGCTCGGCTCCGGGCAGAGTGCAGGGCGGTGGGCACCTCCCAGCCACCCGCAGCCCCGCCAGGGCGACCCTCCCTGCGTCTCTGCCTCTCGGGGACAGACCTGAGAAAATTCTGAAAGAAGTCCCTACCCCACCCTCACTGCTTCCAAACTGGGTCCAAAATGGAACAAAACAAACAGTGGCTCCCAGTCCAAGCGGGCTTCCTCGGGGTTGGGGACTGGGCCCAGAGCCCAGGAGCGCTCCCAGCGGAAGACCCGGAGAACCCCGATGCCCTGGGCCCCCGTGGCAGGCAGGGCTGTGAGACAGGGCCCCAGGGGCTCCGTTTTGTTTTCCTCAAAAAAAAAGAAAAAATGGTTAGGCACTTCCCAGGGCGGGCAGCGGGGGGCGCCACCCACCCCCACGTCTTGGAGTCCGGGGCAGAAACCCGGCAACAGTGGTGAGGGCGTCAATAACTTAAACAAGGAAGAAAGAGAAGTCCCAGCCTCTGCGTCTCCACGCCTTCCGAGATCAGAAGAAAGCAGGCCAACAGCCGTCCCCGGAGGCCACGTCTCGCACCGCTGGGGCCAGGTCCCCTCTCTGCCCATCTTCTGTGGGTTCTCTTTTTTTTTCTTTTTCCTTTTTTGTTTTTTTTTTTTTTTTAGAAAAAAGCAAGCCACGAGTCAAGGCCAGAAAAAGGCGGCCTCTGCCACTGACAAAGATGAGAAGGTGCACGAGGTGTGTAGGAAGAAAGACGTACATCCCCTGATAACTGTGAAATAAAAACCATTTGTTTAAAAATATGAAAAAACCCCGACTCCTGGGGCAGACTGGCGACCAGCAGGCGGCTGGCGGGAGTCCGTGTGGTCACACCAGGTTGTACTCCTTCAGGTTGAGCTGCAGGATGGTGTCCTTGACAGCGGCGAAGACGAAGCGGATGTTCTCCGTGTCGGTGGCGCACGTGAAGTGGGAATAGATGATCTTGTCGCTGTCGGGGTTCAGGTCCACAAACATCTTCAGGATGAACTCCCGGGCGGCCTGCGCGTCCCGCTGCGGGCCTGGCGGAGGCGGGGGAGGGGCGGGATGAGCTGAGGGAGCCGCGCAGCCCCCCTGCCCAGCAGCCCCTCACGCAGGCCCACCTGCCAGGCAGACCCACCTCCC